CTTTCCCTAAGGACAGAAGTGAGCATTTGTCATTTCTCAAAGAAAATGGGTAAAGCTCTTTTTTTTTTTCTTTCATTCCCTCCTTTTTTTGTGGGGGGCACTCTTTTTGCTATCGGCCTTGTTTACCTTTTGTTTTACTTCCATCTGCGGTCTAGGTCCTAGTAATATGATTCCAGGTCAGTTCTATAGATGAAAGCCAGATTAAGGAATTGAGAAAACAAAGGAAGGGGAGTTCCCTGTAGGCTCATTGGTTAAGAATCTGCCGGCCAACACAGGGGACACGGGTTCGAGCCCTGGTCCAGGAAGATCCCACATGCCGCGGAGCAACTCAGCCCGTGTGCCACAACTACTGAGTCTGCGCTCTGCAGCCCGTGAGCTACAACTACTGAGCCCACCTGCCACAACTACTGAAGCCCGTGCTCCGCAACAAGAGAAGCCACCGCAATGAGAAGCCCGCACACCGCAACGAAGAGTAGTCCCCGCTCGCCACAAGTAGAGAAAGCCTGTGCGCAGCAATGAAGACCCAACGCAGCCAAAAATAAACAAATAAATTAATTAAAAACAAAAGAAAGTTGGTTAATGTGTTCTTGCTGGTGTTCTTAGGTGTGTGTACCTGTGTGCTTGCTTTGGGATATTCTGTCATTTTTCTACAGATGCTGTATCAGAGGCTCAGAGAGGTTAAATGTATTGGCTAATGTCACACAGCTTTCAGAAGGGATTATGCATTCAACCAGTAGAAATGAAATTTATTAAGTCTATGTGCTGGGCTCTGGGTATAGGAATAGGGTGGTGAACAAAATAATTTTAAGTTTCACGGTCATGGTATCTCCCTTGCAATGGGAAGAGGAACGGTGGCAGGGGCAAAAAGGGGGTAGGGCATTAAGAGGTACAAACCACTATGTATAAAATAAGATACAAGGATATATTGTGTAACATTAGGAATACAGCCAATATTTTATAATAACTGTCAACAGAGTATAATCTATAAAAATATTGAATCACAACATGGCATACCTGAAACCAGTAACATATTGTAAATTGACTACACTTTAATTTTAAAAAAGGAAAAAAATAGGTTTCTCTCCCATGGAGTTTTCCAGTCCAGTGGGGGAGACAGAACTCAAAATTTCTGTAAATTCTCTCTGTCTCATTGGTGATAGGTTTGGTGGAGGATGTGAATGGGGAGGAGCTGAGGTAGTAAACGAAGGCGGATGGGCAGTCAGCAAAGGGCTCTCCGAGGAGGAGGTGGCATTTATATAGAGAAGCAAGTAGCCTTTGGAAGAGTTGGGCAGTGGGGAGGGTGCTCCAGGCAGAGACGAAGCCACAACTACTGAGATGAAAAAGAATTCGGTTTATTTGAGGGACTAAAATTTGGCCAGCGATGCTGGTGCATACTGGATGAGGGGAAAGGCGACAGCAAATGAGGCTGGCGAGCTGGGCAGGAGCCAGATCACCCGAGAGTCTGTGGGCTGTGCTACAGAGTTCAGGTTTTACTATAAGCGGTAATGGAGTCATCGAAGCATTTTAAGCTAGCAAGGAACAAATCCAACTTGTGTCCTGAAAATCTGTTTGGTACAGAGTCAAAAGCTGAGATGTAAGAAGATATTATAAAGGAAATTATTCAGATAAGAATTATTGGGGACTTCCCTGGCGGCCCAGTGGTTAAGACTCCGTGCTTCCAATGCAGGGGGCGCGGGTTCAAACCCCGGTCGGGGAACTAAGATCTAAGATCCCATATGCCGCACAGTGTGGCCCCCCCAAAAAAACAGACCACTAGAAAATTTTGGGCCTTCCCTCGTGATCCAGTGGTTAAGATTCTGCCCTCCCAAGGCAGGGGGCCTGGGTTCGATCCCTGGTCGGGGAACTAGATCCCGCATGCATGCCACAACTAGGGGTCTGCATGCTGCAACTAAAAGAGCCCGTGTGTCGCAACTACGACCCAGCACAGCCAAATAAATAAATAAGTATTTTAAAAAAAATTATTATCTCAGTGGTACTCAAAGGGATTGGTACCACCCCTTGAGATGTTTCAGAAGTTTGGGGGATATTTTTGGTTGACAAAATAATTGGTGCTGGGCTCCGCTGGTATTGAATGGGCGGGGCCCAGGGATACTAATCATCCTACAGTGAGCGAGCTACTCCTCAACGATGAGGAATCGTACAACCCACCTGATTTTTGAATACTCCCACAAGATATGAACAGAGGTAGAAAAAACTGCTGGTGATTAACTGAGTCTAGCTCCTAAATCTTTTTGACACATACACGATAAGCGTGTTTGGCACTTTTCCAGGGAAATCAAGGAAACTTTGTCACCAAGATTGGTTTACTGTTTCAGTAAACTACTGATACTTGGGTTTTTGAGCCCCCATCCTCTGCAGGGGACTTTGTCACCTGCACAGTGATTCTCCATATGGGAAAAGTAAAGACTCCTTCCTTGGGTCTTCAGTACAGCTGTGATTGAATCTTTACATTTTGAAATTATTATAATTTCCCTTTTATGTATCTTTTATAGTATGTCACTGTGCTGATTTTAAAATTGTTAGGGTGTCGGTTTGTTAAACTGTATAATACTTCTGCTTCACGATAGAAAGGGTATTGCACATCCTTGCTCTCAAGGGTGTCTGCGGCTCATGGCGTCGAGAACTCCTGACCTACCTTCTGCAATGCACACAGATTTAAAGAGGGGAAACTGAGGCTTGGCGAGGTTGGGGGTCTTGCCCAAGGTCACACAATCAATGAAGAGTAGAGCCAGGGGGCTTCCCTGGTGGCGCAGTGGTTGAGAGTCCGCCTGCCGATGCAGGGGACGCGGGTTCGTGCCCCGGTCCGGGAAGATCCCACAGGCCGCGGAGCGGCTGGGCCCGTGAGCCGTGGCCGCTGAGCCCGCGCGTCCGGGGAGCCTGTGCTCCGCAACGGGAGAGGCCACAACAGTGAGAGGCCCGCGTACCGCAGGAAAAAAAAAAAAAAAAAAAAGAGTACAGCCAGGGAGTCAAACCTCGAAGCTGGGCTTATCAGAAATTGGCAATACTGCCTCTCGGGACCCGGGGACTCGGGCCCTCCACAGCTTCTTGTGATGATGGAGAATCCTTGTGATGGGGATCACTTACCCGGCCCAGTTCCTTGTCCTCCAAGGCCAGGACTCCTGTGCTCTCTGTGAACAGCTTCACCTTCACAGCGGGCAGTGCGTGGGTCGTAGAGAAGTCACCCTGGGTGCCCCAGCTGCAGACAGAATCAGAGAGGTCAGTGCGGAGACCTCCGCCTTGACACGCTAAACTCAGCCCCGCCTTCTCCGTGGGTCGGGTGAACGCAGGGTTAACCCGAGGCATCGAGGCATTGAGGCAGCAAGGCATGCTGGCTGTCACATCCCCCTCCCCTCCCAAGCTGCCAGAATGACAAAAAGTGTTAATTATCTTGTTAGGCAAATGCAAGACAGATGCTCAGAAAGTTGCCAGGGGTCTTCACAGAGCACTAGAAGGAATCACTTGGAATTAGCATGAAATCGAGTTGGTGAGAAATTTGCCCCATGCATTTGCTATCCCTACAAACTATTCCAGGGTAACCACTAATATTTCCTTGTAGCCTTTCCAAGAATCCCTAGTTCTTGGAGACCGCTGTTCTAGATTTTGAGATGGAGCTTCATTTGGCAGGAGCTAACACCTGACCTTACAGTGTGACCTCAACAGCAGTGGGAAGGGAGGGAGCCCCATTTCCACTGGCATTCAAAGTTACGTTGAATAGAGCAATGGATGAAGCTTAGTTTAGCCCTGTTAAAGAGGAACGAAGGTCAAAGGATGGGATGTGGGAAACGCCCTTCCCCACTCACTGGTCTCTGGGAATCACAGTAGATCTCCCAAGAGGAGAGCCTGGCCTACCTAGCATCTGGGTCGAGTGCCAGTCTGAGCTGACATGAGCCCCTGATGGGCCCCTCAGATGTGATCTTTTCATCATGATTCTTACAGAGCCATCTCCATCCACTCTGTATCTGAAATCAGCATGATCTTCAGGAAGCATCAACTGGATTGCATTGAGCCCCTGCCCTAAACCCTTCCACGGTACCTGCTCCGTTGCACTGCGCACAATCCAGACCCCTTGGTATGGTGTCCCACTCATCCGCTCGAGTGTCATGGGCCTCCTGATTGTGCTACCTCAGGGCTGTTGCATGCATGGTTCCTTCTGTTGGCAATGCTTCTCCCCACCCTTCTCTTCATCCGCTACCTCTCTGGGGCTCAGCCAGAGCTGAGAACATGTCCCTTGATCTCCCAGTCTCAATTTTGTTCCAGTGTTAAACTCTCTTGAACATACTGTTTAATTTCACGTCCTAGCAATCATTGGATTTGTAATGATTGATTTACTTACGTGATTGTTTAACAGCTAAATCCTCTAATATTCTGTAAGCTCCATAAGGGCATGGACTGTGTGTTTTGTTTATCTTGCATTACCACAGTACTTAGCACACAGAAGACACTTAATAAATATTTGTTGAATAAATAAATTGTGCAAACATATATTCTTTTACAGAACTAGGAAACAGGAATAGATATAATTTTGTATAGAAATGTTTTTTTTTTCATTTTGCCTACGTAATGGCCAATTTCCGTATTCTAAGTTACTCATTTGATATTATTTTTAATGACTACAATGTTACACCGGATGGATGCATCATAATTTATTTAACCATTGTTCTATTATTGAGATTGGGCTGGACATTACTTTTTAATTTCATCTCTGTTTATTTCCTTGAGAGGTGGAGAGTTAGATGGAGATCGTTTCTTCGTTCATTTATCAACAAACATGATGGTGCTCCTACAGTGCTGCAGGAACTGTGCTCATCAGTGAAAACTTTCAAGGCTTGGGACACCTATTCCCAAAATGCTTTCCACACAGTTGGTGACTATCCTCCTACCATCTGGGAAAAAGCGCAAATCACATGGCTTCTTGCCCACTCTGGGTGTCCCTATTCACTTTTTCTTCTGGCCAGTTTAATCATGGGCCTCTCCTTGATTAATAGCAGGCTTGACTATTTTACTGTGTTCATTGGCTGTTTGTATTTCTTCTTTTGTAAATGATGGAAGCCTGACTTCTAGTGTCAAGGTTGCACTCAATCGAATAAATCCCATTAACTAAACTCAAAGACCTGAGGACTCTAGACTGTTGGTAAGACAGCACTAGAAGGAGATAAGGGGGTGCCCAGCTCCATGGGGATCCAAGTGTGCAAGAACCACTGAGAAAGCACAACAGTCGCAAGCGAGAAAGGAAGAGGACACGAAGAGGACATGAGACAGGGCAAGAAGCAACAGGTTTCAAACACAACAGCAAAAGGTGAGATGTACAGATGGAAACTCCTAATTTTGGACATCAGCCACAGCAGCAAACTCCTAAGATAGGGGAACCTTTGTCCTAACAAAGGCAATGTGACAAGGCATAAGGTTTTGAACCCAGCATTCTTAGTTCAAATCCTGATGAGTCACTTACAAACTGCAGGACTTGGGGCAAGTTAATTAACATCCCTGAACCTCAGGTTCCTGAGCTATAAAATAATATCATTTTACAGAATAGTTATAAAGAGTAAATAGCAGCAAGCTTGGAACAGCATAAGAGTCCCCCAGATTTTGGCTACCTTCCCTTCCCCAAATGAGGATACACAAGATGTATTTTAGTAACAGTCATAATCACTTATATTTTGTGTTATCCATTCAACATATATTTATTAAGCACCTACTGAGTACCTGACCCTTCGCTGGGCAAGCAAGATGGACATTACCCTTCCTATTACACAGGGTAAGAGGCAAAACAGTTCATATTGTACCCATTTCACAGATGAGAAAACTGAGAGAGAACCTCAAGACCTTGTCCATTTTATTCCAGTGAACTGTGATCAAGCTGGGCTGGAACACAAATCTCTTAATTCCCAGTTTATAGCTCTTGCTGCCATTACTGTCATGATTATCAATAACACGCATGACCAATGATCAACAATTCTGGCAAAAAACATGATCATTACTTTACTGTTTAGGGTTAATTGTGCTGTGAATCTCTTTGGGCATTTATCATGCTTGGTCATGGAGATAAGGAAGATTCCTGCCGGAAACAAAGAGAGTTCTGGAATGAGACGCTCTAACACTAAGCCATAAAGAGGCCTTAATTGCAGGTCCCTGGGAATTCCCCACACTGGATCCCTGTGACACTGTCCTTGAAACTGGTTTATAGGGATTTTCTGGCCTGTTCAGTGGGCACGAACCCAGTCTGCCTGAACCCCTGCTGCTACCCAAGGATGCTCAGCTCATAATGCGTTCACCGTGACTCAGACCGTGGGGCAGGGCGAGGTCTCTGAGACCCCATCAGCTGGATGGAGTTGAAGCCACTGGAGGCTGCCCTGACAACCCCTGTGCATTTGGACAGTGATTTGCTTTTCCTTTCCACCAGGCCTGCAGCTGTGCTCTTGGCTTCCTACCATGACCCTTGGCTCACCTCAAGTTGCTAGGTCGTTACTGAATCCCAATTTATCCACCAGATTTCAAAATGGCTACCTGGCCCAGTGGAGCAGGCAAAAAAAAGAAAGTCTAATCAGGACCAGCTATGTCATTCTCAGGGCCCAGTGCAAAACGAAAATGTGGGCTCCTTGTTCAAAAAGTGCCATTAAAGGTACTAAAATACAGTGTTTTCCTTCCTCTGAGGATTTCCTCTGCTCAAACACATGCTCATTATTCCATGAGACCCCACTTAACTGACTCGAGCTCAAAGATCAAATGATTAAGAATGTCAAGACGGCAATGTGGAGCATGAAACCAAATGGTCTGAGTGTGGGACCTGCGCGGCCCCGGCGGTCACAAGCTCGTGAATCGGGCTCTGAGCCCGAGGCCACCCAGTCTGTTTAGCATGGCCAGAGGATGGGACATGCCGGGGAGGTCGCTACAGTCACAGGACTCTGTGAAAACCACTCCTGCCTTCTTTTGGTCAATGCTTCCTATTCATGGGGGCCCCAAAGAGATACAGTTATCAGCACTTGCCCTGCCCCTGTACCCTTTGGGAAAAAAAATCATGAAAATGTCCACTTTTTGTCTTTTTCCAGCCATGGAAAGACCTGACTATAACAAAAACAGCTAATATTTCTTCAGAGCTTCCTATGTGGCAGTCACACATTCCCATCTCCAAAACGTTCGATGGTCATATGTGTATTTTGTCCTTTTAAGCCCTCTTGGCCATCCTGTGAAATGCTTGTAACTATCACCCCCATAGTTACAGATGAGGAAACTGAGGCTCAGAGAGCAGGCTAGTCATGTGTCCAAGGTCACAGGGAGCAAACGGCAATCTGACTCCACAACCCAAACCCTTAGCCATGCCGCCATGTTGCCTTTGCTCCCAAATGCCACAACTTGCTCCTCTGTGTCTGGATCCAGTTAATATCAATTACCTCTGGAACTCAACTGGAAAGTTCTGTTTCAAAACGGATGGGACTCTGGGCTGCTCTAGATTTATTTCACACGCTCAATATACTTCACAGAGTGCTACGTAACCTGCAGACAAATCAGTCCGTGGTGGAACCTTGGCCTTTTGGGGGAGCCACGTAATGATAAACGAATCTATTTCTCACTGTTGCCTTCTTCTCTGCTCATTTCTTTCCCTTTGCTGAGCACTGGCTGTGGCTATTTAAATGAATATCTCCTTTAAAAGTTTCCCAGGACGGAAATAAAATTCTGCTTTGATTTGAAAAGACCGGAGGTTGATAGTATTTTATGGCAAGGAGCAGCTGGGAAGGTTAACTAACTTCTCTCTGAACATAAAGTACCTAAAGTCAAGTGGGTGAGGTGTCTCACCCCCCCTGATCTTATCATATCTGCTACTACACTCACACCGTACAGCTAGCTCACAAAAGCACTAAAAATAGTCACCAATTATCCAGTGCTTATGGTTTGCCAGGCCCTGGGCTGAGGGCTTTTCAGGGGTTATCTCATTTAATCCTTCTGACAGTTCTGCAAGATATATCCTGATTATCCCCACTTCATCAATGGAGAAACTAGGACTTGGAGAGGTTAAGTAACTGGGCCAGGGTTTCAGACTATCACAGAGCTGGGCTTCAAACTCAGAGTTTCTGACCTGAAAGCCCATGCATTAAACCAGAGAGCCTTACTGCTTCTCTGTAACTCATAACACAGTATTAGAGTGTGACAATTATCTGTGTGTGTATCTGGCTCTCTCTCTAGATGGTTAATACCCTGGGG